GACATTGATTGAGGGGAGAACCACCGTCTGCCATCATGGGAGTTGACCGAGACATGGAGCAGTATATTTTTCTGTTTACTATTGGTTTGCTACAGGAGTGGGTGATGTATTGCCCTTTGAGGCTGTCTTTGTGTCCTTTGACCCCAGACTTTAGATTTCATAGGCACCATTCACACTAGTGTTTTGTGCTGGGTAGATCCGGGCAGATTTGGTGATGTAATACTGAATCTGACCAGAAATGAAGTTCACACTACATTTACCCTGAACGAATGTCTGCAATGCAGTTTAACCCTGTCAAGTTCACATTGACCAAAGTACCGATTAAAAATGGAGCCTCCTTATTGATCCAGCCTTCTGGTTCAGGAGACCTTTCCACAATGACCCTCCTTTTTTGAACAGGACTTAGGAAGCATGGATGTATATTTTTAGAGGAGCATGGATTTATATTTTGAGCATTGGTTTGGTCCTGTCCTCCATTTTTCCTGAGGTGTCCTCTGTTTTTGTGCCTTTTCCTCTTCTGTGTTTAGAGGACATCTGTTCACCCTGAACTCGTATCTCCTTCAGAGAGAAGCTAGGAGCATGAGCTCCTTTCCTCTAGACTTGAGCCTGATTCCTCAGATGCATGAACATGTCATCCACAGTGACCAGACTTCATCCTCCTTTTCCAGGACCTGTCCTCCCTTTTTTCAGCCTTCTTGTCCAAGAGGCATTTCAACCTTTTTTCCAGGATGAAATTCCAAAAGGTACTCCCTTTTGAGCAGGACATGAAGCATTTATCTGAGTGTTCTGAGCTATGATGTGGTCATGTCCTCCATTTTTCTTGAATGTGCTACATTTTGTGGTGCCTTGGCCTCCTTTGTGGTGAGGACATCTAGTCAGCCTGATCTTCCAGCACCTTGGAGACTAAGAAAATCAGTATGCAAAGGGATCTGGCACAGGGTGACCAGAGGTCATCCTTTTCCAGGACCTGTCCTCCCTTTCAACCTTCTGTCCAGGAGTAAATTCCAAAATGCCCTTCCTTTTGAGGCGGACTTAGGAAGCATGAAATTATATTTATAGTAGTTTTTAAAGCTCAGGGTGACCAGATGTCCTCTTTCCAGGACATGTCCTCCATTTGGCAATCCCTGCCTCTGAAGAAACATGCCAAGAAAACCCCAGGATAGCCGAAACTTCTTGAAGGCACATGATGACAACAACAACAACAGAAGAGCAAGTCATCTCCCACTCTTTTGAGGGTTG